TACTAATCAAACAATGAGTGTTTTATGAGAACAGAGGGCAGCAGTAGTAGTAGGAGCGTTGTATTTTTAGATATGTGTGTTTGTGTAGCGGCAACATGACGTTTACAAACCTGATTAAGAAACCTGTAATCAGTACTAATACTAATTTTATAGTTATATCTTCAATTCTACTGAGCATCTAGTTGTTCCTCTAGATTTCATTTAGCTATTCTTAAACCCGATGACAATTATTTTGTTTCTTGCAGCAGCGTTCTCTTCTGAATAATCAACAGTATGTGAACATCAATTTTGATAGCAAATAGGGTGCTGTCATTGTAATTGGAACGAACAACTTTGGTGGTGACAGTGCATACACGTTTTACAGTATTATTCTCAACAACTTTTATTTCATATCACTGAATTTGTATGTGTTTTTACGTTCATGAATTATTTCGCAGAATATCCGGGGGATTTACATAATATTGCTAGCAACAATTTTAAATTCAAATTATTTGACTAAGTGTTGCATAATATTTGATTATAATAATAATAATTTACGGCTAATAGTAAATTGTAACAACATATACTCAGATCACATAATAGCTTGATATACCCAATGAGCGTGTTTTTTTTCAGTTATTATCATATGTTATAGCGTATATTAATTCAATTATGTTTAGGAAAGGTGTTTATTGTAAATAGTCGAGTATAATTTTGTACACGTGCTCATTATTTACACTGATCTACCACAGAAAGTTTAGCAATGAGAATTAATTATATTATCATAATTAATAATTCGCTTGCGAAACATTTCAATCTCTTAATAAATGTCATTGAATACAAATTACAATAATTCTAATTTTGATTAATTAAAAATACAATTTGTGCAAATTTCACATGCATTTTTTTGCTTGAGGATATGAATACGGTCAAACTGGTTATTTATCAAACTTTATTTATCTTGGCATCCGCCAATGAATACCGCACGAATTCCAAATTAATGGAAAAATACAATTCATACAACCTGTAACAATATTAATGAAACTGATTACCATAACTTGAAGTAACATAACTTGAAAAAAGTCTCACTAATACCTGTACCATGTTGTATACATTTGTCATGCTCACAACATAAGCTTGTAATTTTGTTTGAAAAGAAAGACCAAATTGAGTTTTTCATTCAAGGAAACTGACGATGACCATTTTGACAATTATATCTAAGACAACTAGATC